TATGTTTTTAAAGATTTGTTTATTTATGCATACAAGAACAGGGGTATAGGCCAGAGGTGCAGGGAGTATTCACCGGAGACAGAAAAATGAGCAGAACAGGTGGTTTGACTGAAATACACTGCTGAGGGGAGCAGCCAGTGAGACAGGAGAGGTCTGCTGCACCTTGTGGATTTGCTTCTTGGATCAAACTCATGCTGCATTGGCTGCCAATAGCTTCATAGTGCTGAAACTTAACTCCTTGTGTCACCCACCCCTCATGTCCCCCCCCCTTTTTTTTTGAGAACTACTCTTAGTACATTCTCCTTCTTTGTGCTGTTAGGGGAAGAAAAGAAACAAGACTTGTAACTCAGACAGGGTGTTTTCTGTGTACCAAGCACTGCTTAACCACTTTTAATACTTCATCCCAATTGTTCTTCATACAATCCTATAAGCTAGGTTTGTTGTAATCTCTCTCTCTCTCACACTGCTTTTTGGGTAGATGTGGAAGCTGAAACAGAGATGTTAATCAGCTTACTCAAAGTAACACAGTACAGGGGTAGTTCTGGGTTTTGGATCCTCATAATTTGACTATAAAGTTGTTGAAATCTTAATGTAATATAAAATGCATGCCATAAAAAGCAGTTTTAAAGACTGAGTTCCCTTTTCAGTTCTACTTTATTGCCAGTTGTTAGTAAAACAATAATCATGCTCTTTTGTATTAGAAATGTACTCCCTAGAAAATCATGTGTGAGTTTAATTTTTAAAATAATATAATAGTTTGTTTTTACATCATTTTGTGTCTTTTTCCATCTCAGTTGTAATCCCTGTGGGCTTCCCACCACCAGTTCACCCATGTGCCAGCAACATATTACAGTGCACTTCCCCTCACCCCCATTTTTTATCTCATTCCCCACTCCATCCCCTGTAAAATGTCTCTAGTATATAGTTGTTCATTATTATTATTGTTTTCTCCCCTGATCCTTTATACTCCTGCTATAAGTGAAACCATCGGTATTTTTTTTTTCTGGCTTATTTCACTAAGCATGATTCCTTCTAGCTCCATCCATGTTGCTGCAAAAGGCATGTGTTTATCTTTTTTGATTGCTGAGTAATATTGTGTATATGTACCACATCTTTTTAATCCAGTCATCTACTTTTGGGCATTTGGGTTGATTCCATGTCTTTCCTATTGTAAATAAAGCAGCAATAAATACGGGGGTGCAGGTTTCTTTTTGAATCAGTGTTTTTGTGTCTTTTGGGTAGATACCTAGTGGGATTGCTGGGTCGTAGGGAAGCCCCATGTTTAGCAGTTTGAGGAACCTCCAAAAAGTTTTCCATAGTGGTTGTACTAATTTGCATTCCCACCAGCAATGCAGGAGAATTCCTTTTTCTCCACATCCTCACCTACATTTGTTGTTGGTAGTTGTTTTAAGATGTGCATTCTCACTGGTTTGAGGTGGTGTCTTGTTCTTGTTTTAATTTGCATCTCCCTTATTACAAGTGGTGTTGAACATTTTTTTCATATGCTTGTTGGTCATTTGCATTTCCTCTTTGGAGAAGTGTCTTTTTAGCTCTGCCCCCACCCTTTTTTTTTTTTTAAGATTTATTTATTTGTTCATACAGAACTGGGGTACAGGCCAGAGACTCAGGGGCGGTGAGAGGCTTCACCAGAGACAG